AACACTTCCAAAGATAGGCAGTATGAAAAATTCGGTTTGTATGGAAGATGCCACGCCCCCTTTTCCAATAGTTCCAATTTTTCTCCAAGAGTATGCGATTTATTTCGTACATCTCCATGCAAAACTTTAGAACTGTACCAAAAAATTTCCAGAGATAAGCAGTATGAAAAATTCGGTTTGTATGGGAGATGTCACACCCCTTTTTACTATAGCAAAAATTTTTCTCCAAGGGTATGCGATTGATTTCGTATATCTCCATACCAATTTCCCAAACTCTACCATGCACACTTTAAGAGATATGTAGCATGAGAAATTCGGTTTGTATGGGAAGTGCCACGCCCCCTTTACATATAGATTTTTTTTCAGCCTAAAACCATCCTTGGGACACGTGCGGCAGGTGGGAGTTTCAAAAAAATCGGTTCAGCCGCTCTCAAGCCTTGCGAAAACTAGCAAACGGCTTTCTAAATATAAATTAGATGAGATATATTGTATATTATAATTATATTTTGACAGTATCCGTTCTTTCTGATTGTCGCAAAAAAATCTTGCCTAGTGACGAATTCGCCCCTTGATATGGTCGTTACTTAAAGCTATTTATATTCGAAATTGCATGAAAATTGGAAAACAGGAATCTGTAAGTTTATCCAGGCAAAAAGCTACCTATGTACCGAATTTTAAGCAAATCGGACCATAAATACGATTTCTTCGAACAGATCGGTCGCTGGTCCACTTCTCGGACAAAATGGATCATATATGCTAAAAAGCTACCTTTGTACCGAATTTTAAGCAAATCGGACCGTAAAAACGATTTTTTCGAATAGATCAGTCCCTGGTCCACTTCTCGGAAAAAATTGATCACATATGCTAATACATGCTAAAAAGCTATATGCGCACCGAATTTTAAGCAAATCGGACCGTAAATTCGATTTTTTCGAATAGATCGGTCCCTGGACCACTTCCCGGAAAAAATGGTTCATATATGCTGTATATATGCTAAAAAGCTACTTACGTACTAAATTTGAAGCAAATCGGACTATAATAAGATTTTTTCGAATAGACCGGTTCCTGGTCCACCTACCCGAAAAAAAGTTAAAATTTTTTAGCCTAAAACATCGTGGTTACCGGAAGCTATTCGTGTACAAAATTTCATGAAAGTCTGACCAGCCGTTCGCGAGATTACCTGTTACAAAAAAAAGGGACTTCTCTTTATATAATTAGTATAGATTATTATAGATACTAATACAGATTATCATAGTTCAGTGTATAACTTGCCATCGTAAATGATAATGAACTGTTAAATGCTGAAAACGAAAACGAACGTAAAATGCTGATCCGGTGCACTTTCTTTGACGAGTCTCCGAGTGGTGAACTTCTATTTTTCTTAGAGCAGGTGAATTTTTAAACAAACATTTTTCTTATAATTTTAATAGATAATTGCTATTTATTTTCTAATATTCAGATATCCAGTTTGTAGCCAGAGGAAGTGGCATGTGAGGTTCATTAAAATCTACTCATTATGTTGGAGCTGCTGGCTGAACTTATGACCACAATAACCAACGGAGTCTCCAAGTAAATGCATGTCCTGAATTTATACAGTAGCAATTCATAACAATTACTATTGTATGTGTCAATGATTCATATTTGTGACATTCTGTACTTTGATGTTAAGTATTTTTGAGGAGTTCCAGGTAACGGTCACTCAAACTTGGGTTTGTATAACTATACAAACCTTGATTTTGATGTGTATACATCTTTGGTTTCGGTAGGGGTAAAATTTGCGAAGCTGTAACGCATAGCCCAGCAGAAAATTTCGAAGGACTTACCATGTGTATTGCAGCAGAAAATTTATAATTTCATTAGAGGCACCCTGTTCCTACTTGCTATTGCAAATGGTTGCACACATTTAGGCATATGCAGAGTAAGAGGAAGTGCGGATATAAGATTATTACTTCCGATTATGCAAACTCCGCGCATGCATAGGGCATTGTACTTATATGTATACATACTTAAGTTTGTGTGTGCATACATATGTATGGACTCGTTTGTTGCAAGTGGTTTTGATATTCATAGCATGGTTTTAGGCATAGGTTTAGTGCTATTGATAAAAAGCAGGGCGAAAATTCAAAAAAATACTGAAGTCATATTAACTGGGACGGTTGATAACTGATGAACATACATGAATATATGTATATATACTACATATGTATGGATGATATAATAGCTCTGACCCAATACTTTTCGTGTAAAATCCTGTAAAAATGTCAAACAGCAAAATCTCTCTCTGAAGTGAGAGTAAAAAGTGAGTAACAGGAAAAAGTACGGAACAAAAAAAGCATCGGCTAAAATCTTGCAACTTCATTCTCTACACAACTCTCAAAATATCGCACTCAGTTATATCATTTTGGAGTACGGGATCATTTTTCCTGTAACTTCCTGTAAGTTCGTGTAAAAACCTGTAAGTTCAATGAGTACTGGAGCAGAGCTAATACAAGATTTCACAAAGAGAAGATGAAAGTAAGAGGAAATGCCAAACAAATGAATTTAGCTTCCCATTTTGCAAACAAAAGATGGTATGTTATATATATTCATGACTTTAACATAAACGACAAATGAAGCAGAACCACAGATTATATTCCTAAAAGAAAAACTAAATTTAGGAATATATACAAATAGAAATGCTCAAACTACAAGCTCAAAAACAGTAATTGATGCGGTGTTTTCAAGATATTTTAACGCCCTTGAGTCACAGGTATATACAAGTATTTATCATATTTTATCAATCATACCGATAATTTTATGTATTAAAAGAATTACATATGAAAATGAATAAAAAAAGATTTAAATCAGCAAAATGAATAAAATTACGTGAAATTAATATTTAATTTCGAACCTAACCAAGATTAGCCATACAAACTTAAAATTATAAAATAATGTCAGATTAAACCGATAACTTTTTGGTGTCCAACCTAGTTTTATCGATTATATTTGCGAAGAAGAGGATGAATGTCAAATGTAAAAGTAAACGAAAATTTACGCTAGCAAGGAAAAGAGGTTTGTAAAGGTATTTTTAATAAAAATAAAATAGCATAATATGTGTAGCAAAAAGAGTGACCATGGTGGCACAGAGAATAAGCTTAACTTGCCCACCCAATTTGACAGCTAACGAGCTTTCATAGGGCTTATATTTATATGTAAACATACTTTTATTCTTTTCCGTACGCATATGTTTACACATCAAATTTCATGAGTACTTAGTACCCACGCTTTTTTTTGGAATAAAGACTTAAATATATTCGGAAATTTAGAATTTGCCTTGATAAATTCACAAAATAACACAAAATTTACGTTTTTCATAAAAATATAATCTTACAATGGAAATTTTTTGAATTATAAACTTAAATTTAAGAAAACTCCATTCAGTGCTATAATTACGATTTGAGTTTTCCAGCTTATAAATCACAAGCGTTAACTATGTACTATTGATATTATTCTTCATTAAGCATAAATATCAGCAGACATTACAGATTAGTATTACACTTAACCTAAATTTTGTTCATAAATAACACAAAATTATGTATATTTTATCCTCGAAAAGAACATTTTCTAATCATGAGGCGAAATTCCTCTCAGTAAGTGTTGCCGTGCAAGCAAAATGAAAACGCAGCACACAACCCAAAAGTACTCCCCGGGGACCAATTGGTGAAAAACTGCGAAAAGGTTTATTATTGCAGCCTGTGCAGACTGTGCAGCCGACCAACTTCATTGAAAGCGATTAGTTGAAAGGCCGTTTACACCAGGCGATGGTTGCTTTCAACTAAAAGCTGCCTGAAAAATAGGAATGCAAAGTTTTGAAAAATAATCGATTCTCGAATCTTATTTAACTCTTATCATTCTTGGAAGCGAATAATCGATGGCGAGATTCGAATTACTCGATTGTTATCGATTTTTTATTTCAATATTTCTTTCACTTGAAAAAAACTATAAAAACAGCCAATGCTAGTATATTGAATCAATTAAAATTATTGCAACAAGGGTTGTAATAATAAGTTTGTGGAAAAATTGCTTCATTTGCTATAAAATGTGTGACTGACACATATTCTGGCACTGTTTGATATATAATTAATAAAGTTCCATCCTAAATTTGAATATCCTCCTTAAAATTTTCTTCTTTTCATAAATTCATTTCTAGCATCACTATGGATATGCGCCAATTAGTCTTACTTAATCAGCTTTATCATGAGTTTCATTTTCCCTGAACCGTTTCACTTTTCACTTTTGGTTTCCATGGTTTTACTATGAGCGGATCACAAATTTTCGGGTGAATTTTTTTTCATTCGAAACTCAGGGTAGGGCAGAATATTTCTATTAGTAATGCCAGAAATCCCAATTGTTAATAAAGAAATATTATGCGTATTAAAAGTAAAGGGTAAGGATTTATGTTATATGCATTTTTTCTTTTGATTTTCTTTTTGCAAATTAAAGGAATAAATTTCTCCAGTTAAATGTATATTTGTATTAAGATAAATATAATAAAAAATATTACGAGAACCAGATACTTTCCGGAGCAAACTTTAAGAACAAAAGCATATTCCAATATTCAGGACTTATTCTACTTCATAGTTGATTTGCAATGAGGCCAGTGTGCGAAAATAGACGCTCACATGGTGTTGATGTGGCTACTATCGGTAAATATTTTTTTGCCATTGTTAATGGGCCATGTCTCACGATCAATATTTATTGACGTGATCCAAGTATCGCGATATTTATAGACTGTGTAGCATGCAATATTGATGGATCGTGATCCATATCGCAAAATTTTTAGACATTTTGAAATCTGGATCGCGGATCGCAGTACTGTCAATAAAGATTGAACGTGTAGCATATTTCGTTCGCGATACGTCAATACGTGTGTATTTCAAAATAAAGTGGAGATATAAATGTTAGAGGCGAAACGTTAATTATTGGATTAATTATTTATTTGGCAGTGGTAATCTTTAATAATGTCGGACGACGAAAGCGCACATATCCAGCCGGCGGTGTTGGGATTAACGAATGACCAAAGGTGTTTGAAGGAGTTTATCCTACAATTGGAAAGTATGCCGGAATTGTGGGATCCTTCGACCAAAAGCTACATGAATAAAATAAAAAGAACGGCCGGACATGAGAAATTATTACTAATCTTAAAAAAAAATTAATGATAACGCCACTGTAGGTGATGTCCGAAAAAAAATAAATTCTTTACGACCAAATTATCGCAAGGAATTGAAAAAAATTATTGACTCCAAGCGCTCCGGAGCTGGTACAGAAGACGTTTATATTCCAAAGTCTTGGACATTTAACGCTCTTCACTTTTTAAATAAAAATGAGAAGCCTGTTGACCTGGTAAGTAAATTTGTTTTAAAGATTTCCTTGAATTCTACTCATACTCTAGTGAATACCTAGTTATAAAGGTGGAAAGAAAAGAAATTAGTATGTAGATTGTCTGTTGTTTTAAGTGAAAACTTTTATTATTCTTTTTTTTCATATACATAAGTGATAAAAATTGAGTGGCAAAAGTTAGCATCTATATTCGTCATTGTAATATTTGCAAAATTTGTCTCTTATAGTTTTGGCACATCTTGTTGAATTTCGCGCCGAACTGCTTTGTACGGTGGTTAATTGAAAATTATACTCATTGGAATTTGGTGCCTGATAATTAGAATCTTTTCTCATTAAATAATTGTGCAGATAACAACAAGCTGCTGTCACTTTTGCGGCTTTCTGCGGGCTGAGACTTATGGCTTTCTGGAAAACTCCAAATTTATTGGCGAGGATACCAAACGCACACTCAATGACACATCTAGCCTTCGATAACCGTTTATTAAACAATTGCTCTTCTTGTGATACTCTTTTTTGAGGATAAGGCTTCATAAAGTTAGGGCCTAGCGCGAAAGCTTCGTCTCCTATAAAAACATATGGGAATGATTCCGAGGTGTTTGGCAATGGTGTCCATTCCGGTATATTTAAACGATTTTGTTACAAACGCTCCCAGAATTTAGTGTAAAACAAGACACCACCATCAGACACGCGTCCATTGCATCCAATATCAACCATGACAAATTCATTTTTAGCATTCGCAATAGCCGTAAGAACGATACTGTATGTTCCTTTATAGTTATAATATAGCGCTCCCGAACCATTTGGACGCTTTATTTTTACGTGTTTCCCGTCAACTGCGCCGATGCAGTTATAAAAATTATGTAATACACGAAATTCATCAGAAACACTTCTCCACTCTTCTGCTGTACTAGGCATCTAAAAAAAGAAATTTGAAATCCATTTTATAAATAAAATATAAAATTAACTCTCAGTTTCACCAATCAATTTTAAAATTTATCAGACCGTTAAAATTTAAAATGACAAATTTTCCGAACTACATTTTATCATTTTAAATTTTAACAGGCTGATAATTTTAAAATTGATTGGTGCAAACGGGCATAAATGTAAAGAATTAAAATCAATTTTATTAATTAACAATAATTTTCTTTCTTTCAGAACCAGGTAGAATCGCAAAATGTGGACGAATTGGTGCAAGTTGAGGAGCAGACAAATAGAGAGGACTTATCTAACACTTCCTTTTCATCTATTAGCGAGTTGGCTCCTCCTCGGAAAAACAAAAAAAATTGTGCAGTGGGTAAACAAAACGAGCTAATTGAAACGGCATTATACTGGAGTGAAAAATTAGAGCATCTTAATCCAACGCAGCGTATGCTAGCTGAAAAAGGAATTAATGATATTTTATTTGAAGCAGAACTGGGTAACTTGAGACGTAACTCTGTTAAAATAATTGTATATCCAGACGCTTGCAACA